GTGGTTGTTTTTAATTAATGGCCAATCACAGTCTAAGTGTATCAGATTCTCTGCTCAGTCATTAAATATTTTATGTAATAAAATAAGATTTTATTAAAGTTTTATTCCGTTCCTTTCCTTACTGGCCTTCTGATGAAATCTTTTCTTCTATTCTTTTAGTGTAGTTTTAATAGAGAATTTTCTTTTACTATATATATAATAAATATATATCTATATATAATAAATATATATTTAATAAATATAAAATTTTAATATAATGTATATTAATAAATAATATAGACATATATATAATATATATGTGTATATATTATATATATGTATATACATAAATATGTATATACATATATATAATATGTATTTGTATATATGTATATACATAAATATATATACACATAAATATATACACATAAATAATACATACAAAGTATATATCTATACATAAATATATATTTTATAAGTATATATTTATATATAAATATATAATTTTAATATATTATTTATGAACATATACTATATATAATAGTACATCTTATTATTTATATTTTATAGCTATTTTATTTATATGTAAATATATTTATATATGAATATATTATTTATTAAGATATATTATATAATTATATATAATTATAATTTATAAATTCTTATGAATATATATCTTTCTTATAAATATATATATTTTTATATATAACATATATATATATTTATATATATATTTATATAAATATAAATATATATTATATATATTTCTTATATATATTATATATGTATTATATGTATTATATATATAAGAAATATATATAAGAAATATATATATAATATAAATAATAAATATTAATTAAAAATATATATAATATATATATTATAATAATAATATATATTAATTTATATATAATATATATATAATTATATATATAATCTATATAAAAATTATGACATATAATATAATATAAATAAATAATATATATTTATATATAATATATATAAATATAAATATATATTTATATAAATATATAAAAATATATATTTTTAATATATATTTCTTATAAATATATATATTTTTAAATATATATATATAAATATATAAATATCCAAACACACACACACTGCACCCTGAGGAATCCCAGGAATTGTCCTTGCAGGGAGAACCAGGACACTCAGAGCAATGAGAAGGCACAGCAGCCACTGCCAGCTCACAGGGAGCTTCAGACCAAAATAGGAACAAAAAAAAATAAAAATAAATCCATCAGCACCAAATTAAGTCACTCCAGGGAAAAGCAAAGTCTCCCTGGGTTTAAAGTGTAAATCTGGGTAGATTCAGAGCAATTTTAGACCCAGAAATTTCCCTTTTTCCTCAGCTCAGCTCATTTCTGCTTCACATTCCTGGTGCAAGCCATTTTCAGCTTAGACTCCAGGTCAGAGCTTTTACTTCCAGGTATTTTCTCCTCACCCACTAGATGAGTTTGAAAAGCTTTTGGGACAAATATTGGCTATTTTGGAACACAACAAACCCTTGGAGACAGAGCAGGAAATGACCCACACCTACCATAGGCCTCCTCGATGAGGCTGCAGTAGGGGTTGATGCCAGTGCCACTCTGGTTGGCCTCCTGCTCNACCTGGGTCTGGATGTCATCCCCTGTCACGATGTTGCCAACTGCTCTCAGAGCTGGAGAGGCCACTTTGTAATCGTTGTGCCTGCAGGAAAAGTGTCATCAGATCCATCAGATCCATCAGATCTCTGGGATATTCACCATGATCCCTCCCCATGTTCCCATCTGCAGGATTTCCATAGGATTCCACCCCCTGGCACACAGAATTCAGGGTGAGCTGAGCATAAAGCCACTGAAAACAAAACCATTTTGTAATCATTGTGCCTGCAGGAAAATTGTGCAGAGAAACCCAGCTCCATCAGATCTTTGGGATATTCACCATGATCCCTCCCCATGTTCCCATCTGCAGGATTTCCTTAGGATTCCATCCCCTGGCACACAAAACACAGCATAAAGCCACTGAAAACAAAACCATTTTGTAATCGTTGTGCCTGCAGGAAAATTGTCATCAGATCCATGAGATCTCTGGGATATTCACCATATTCCCTCCCCAAGATCCCATCTGCATCATTTCCTTAGGATTTTGTCCCCTGGCACACAGAACACAGCATAAAGCCACTGAAAACAAAACCATTTTGTTGTGCCTGCAGGAAAAGTGTCATCAGATCCATCAGATCTCTGGGATATTCACCATGATCCCTCCTCCCCATGTTCCCATCTGCAGGATTTCCTTAGGATTTTATCCCCTGGCACACAGAATTCAGGGTAAACTGAGCATAAAGCCACTGAAAACAAAACCATTTTGTAATTGTTGTGCCTGCAGGAAAAGTGTGCAGAGAAACCCAGCTCCATCAAATCTCTGGGATATTCACCATGATCCCTCCCCATGTTCCCATCTGCATAATTTCCATAGGATTTTATCCTCTGCCTCACAAAACACAGCATAAAGCCACTGAAAACAAAACCACTTTGTAATCGTTGTGCCTGCAGGAAAATTGCCATCAGATCCATCAAATCTTTGGGATATTCACCATGATCCCTCCCCAAGATCCCATCTGCAGGATTTCCTTAGGATTCCACCCCTGGCACACAAAACACAGCATAAAGCCACTGAAAACAAAACCACTCTGTAATTGTTGTGCCTGCAGGAAAATTGTCATCAGATCCATCAGATCTCTGGGATATTCACCATGATCCCTCCCCATGTGGGATTTCCATAGGATTCCACCCCCTGGCACACAGAATTCAGGGTAAGCTGAGCATAAAGCCACTGAAAACAAAACCATTTTGTAATTGTTGTGCCTGCAGGAAAAGTGCCATCAGCTCCATCAGATCTCTGGGATATTCACCATATTCCCTCCCCAAGATCCCATCTCCATCATTTCCTTAGGATTTTGTCCCCTGCCTCACAAAACACAGCATAAAGCCACTGAAAACAAAACCATTTTGTAATTGTTGTGCCTGCAGGAAAATTGTCATCAGAGCCATCAGATCTCTGGGATATTCACCATGATCCCTCCCCATGTTCCCATCTGCAGGATTTCCATAGGATTTTATCCCCTGGCACACAGAATTCAGGGTAAACTGAGCATAAAGCCACTGAAAACAAAACCACTTTGTAATCATTGTGCCTGCAGGAAAATTGTCATCAGATCCATCAGATCTCTGGGATATTCACCATGTTCCCTCCCCATGTTCCCATCTGCAGGATTTCCATAGGATTCCATCCCCTGGCACACAGAATTCAGGGTAAACTGAGCATAAAGCCACTGAAAACANTTTATGTGTATATATATTTATGTATATACATATATACATATATACACATAAATACATATTATATATATATGTATCCCAGCCTCAGGATGTTCTCCAGCCCGTTCAGGGCCACCAGAACAATCTTGGAGTCCATGACAGTCAGCAGGTCACACAGGGGTTTGATACAACCCAGATTCACCAGGTACCTGCAGGGGCAGAGCAGCACCAGCATCACTGCCTGCCCAGGAGCATCCCCTCTGCTCCATGGGAAAGCACAGGAGATGATGCAGAAAATCCAGAAATTTACCTTAAAGGTTCATTTGGATCCATTTATTTGCATTGCATGCAACCCTGTTTTCAGAATTGGTTTTTTTTTTTTTTTTTTAAGGAAAGGAGTCACTTGAAATCCAGGTGCTGCTCAAATTAAGTCAAGTCCAAACTGGAATTTAACCTGTCACTAAATTTGGACATTTAGCCTCAACTATTCTTCAGCCACTTCTGAAATCCAGGTGCTGCTCAAATTAGCTCCACACTGGAATTTAATCTGTCATTAAATTTAGATATTTAGCCTCAACTACCCCTTCTGAAATCCAGATGCTGCTCAAATTAAGTCCACACTGGAATTGAATCTGTCATTAAATTGAGACATTTAATCTCAACTACCCAAATCCCACTTCTGAAATCTGGGTGCTGCTCAAATTAATTCCATACTGGAATTTAATCTGTGATTATATTTGGATATTTAGCCTCAACTACCCAAAGCCTCAACTACCTCAAATACCCCTTCTGAAATCCAGGTGCTGCTCAAATTAAGTCAAGTCCACACTGGAATTGAATCTGTCATTAAATTGAGACATTTAACCTCAACTACTGAAAGAAGGATGGAGAAAATTTGGGATTAAATTATCCCCATCCAGAAGGAAATCACAAATTACAACCCAGCTCTGCCCGGCTCAGTTACTCTGTGGATTCCCTCCAAATCCCTGCTTTGGCTGGAAGTTCCCCTGCAGGCAAAGCTCCCAGGAGNCCATGCCCCGCGGTTGAAGAAAAAGAGGATGAGAAAGAAGGGAAACCGTGGCCTACAACTCCCAGCATGCCTTGCGCATGGCGGTCCTGAGGACAATTCCCGTCCTGCTCCTCTGGAAGACAGAGGTGAGGAGGAAGAGAAGGAGGAAAAAGAGAAGGGTGGGGAGGAGGAGGCCACCCCGGAAACTACAACTCCCAGCACGCCCCGCGCGCGCCGCCGTTACCGGGCACCGGGAGCCCCTCCCAAGGTCACCGATCAGCCCCGGTACAGCACAGCACAGCCGGACACCTGCACAGGTGCATTTATTCGTTCCACAACAAGGGACACCCCAGAAGCGGGGCTTTGACCGAAATCGTGGCAAAGTGGCCCAAAAAGCGCCGTGAGGGCTCGGGGAGCTCCGTGAGCACCGGGAGGAGCGGCGGGGGCAGCGCCGAGCCCCGGGGGTTTGCAGGTGTTCCTGCCTCACAGTGCTCATTTCCAGCAATCACAGGAATTTCATATAGAATTTTCTCTGTGGCCCAATTAGACAAATATCTCCCTATCTAGAATATAAAAAATACAGAGATTTGTTGGTTTTGGAAGGAAAATGTGCATTTTTTGCTGACTGTGAGCAGGAGGTAAACCTGAAAACCTGGTGCTGCTGGAGCTCCCATCAGCACTGGGATTTTCCTCCACCCCAAACCACCCCAAAGCAGGAAAACCTCAGAATTCAGCCCATGTTTCTCATGGCAAATAAAGTATTTCAAGTAAAGATGAAGGTGGGTTTCAGCATTTCAGTCAGTACAATGCAAACCAAACCTGTGCAACAGCAGCTGTGCTTCCTGCTCCAAAAAAATCCACCCCAGTTCCCATCTTTGGGCTCTTGTTGCTTTTTTTTGTTTTGTTTTTAATCCTTGGAAATACCACTAGCAGTTCTTCAAAAACAAAAAAAAAATCAAACAAAAAAAAATCTAGACAAAGGGAAGCAGCAGAAAAAATAAACAAAACTTCCCAGCAGTGAGAGAACTTCTCATTTTTTTTTCTGTCCATTTTCAGTATTTTTCATCAGGGAACTGATCCTGGCTTCACCAGGACTGTCCACCTGAAGGAGGAAGGCCAGGGCTGAATTTTTGCTCTTGGCATATTAAAGAGTCTTTAATAAAGAGTAACATGTGCAAAAGAAAAAANTGGAAAATCTTCAGCTCAGGAAGCCAAGTCAGAAATTTATAGGGATATGTTTGTTTTATCAATGAAAGTCAGAAATTTATAGGGATATGTTTGTTTTATCAATGAATTTATAGATAACATTTGTTTTATCAATAATTTGTAATTTTTGGGGCAGATATGGAGACCAACACAGATATCTTTTCATAGTGGAAAATCTTCAGCTCAGGAAGCCAAACCAGCAAATTCCAGCTGTGAACCTGCTCCAGCTCAGGTGCCTGGATCCCGTGTTTGATGGGATTCAGATGGATTTAGATGGATTTAGATGGATTGTCACTCAGTGACAGGCTTCCATTTGAAGTTTGAGAGCACAAAACACTCTGCAATCTTTAAAGAAATCTGGGAAAGGAAAGAGAAATTTCTTCCCTGTTGTCTGTGCAGTTGGCCCACACTCAAAAATTGGCTGAATTTCAGAAATTTATAGGGATAATATTTGTTTTATGAATGATTTGTGATTTTGGGGCAGACAGGTATCTTTTCATAGTGGAAAACCTGCAGCTCAGGAAGCCAAACCAGCAAATTCCAGCTGTGAACCTGCTGCAGCCCAGGTGCCTGGATCCCGTGTTTGATGGGATTTAGCTGGATTGTCACTCACATTAAGAGCTCCACCAGCCTCCTGCAGACCCCAGAGTCCACCACAGCCTGGATCTTCTCGTTGGGACCATCGGACAGGTAGGACAGAGCCCAGCAGGCGTCGGCCAGCAGGTCAGAGTCACTGTTGAACAACAATCGGGACAACACTGGCAGGCAGGGGGACACCTGCAACAACAGCCACCAGCCGGGGTTAGTCAGCAGGCCAGGAGCTGCACGGCTGCAGGACAGCACCCCCTGGTTGTGCTCACTGCTCAGTTATTTACAATTGTTCAGATTTCACCCCTCACCAAAGGCTTCCCGGCTTTGATATGTTTTCACTTTTTTAAAAAATATTTTTGTGTTGCCAAAGGAGGATGAGATACCTGTTTGTGCTCACTGCTCAGGGTAAGCTCTGAATGGACACAGATCCCTTCTTGTACAGCTCCAAAGGCATCTCAGCTTGGTGGCTACACCTAATTTACACTGAGGAGTAACACTGAGCTTTGGGAGCTCCTGACTCTCAGTGTTCACCTCAGTTATTTGTAATAGTTCAGATTTCACCCCTCACCAAAGGCCTCTAAGCTTTGATATGTGAGGTTTCACTTAAATCATGTTTTCACTTACTTAAAAATATTTTTGTGTTGCCAAAGTTTGTGCTCCCTGCTCAGGGTAAGCTCTGAATGGCCACAGATCCCTCCCTGCACAGCTCCAAAGGCACCTCAGCTTGGTGGCTACACCTAATTTACACTGAGGAGTAGCACTGAGCTTTGGGAGCTCCTGACTCTCAGTGTTCACCTCAGTTATTTATAATTGTTCAGATTTCACCCCTCACCAAAGGCTTCCCAGCTTTGATTTCCATTTCTGACTCCCAAAGCTCATCTCAATCATTTCTAAGTGAGTTTATATTTACACTCAATTCAGATTTCACCCCTCATCTAAGCTTTGCTATGTGAGGTTTCATTTAAATAATTTTTCACTTTTTAAAAAATATTTTTGTGTTGCCAAAGGAGGATGAGATACCTGCTTGTGCTCATTGCTCAGGGCAAGCTCTGAATGGCCACAGATCCCTTCTTGTACAGCTCCAAAGGCACCTCAGCTTGGTGGCTACACCTAATTTACACTGAGGAGTAACACTGAGCTTTAGGAGCTCCTGACTCTCAATGTAAACTTCAATTATTTATAATTGTTCAGATTTCACCCCTCACCACAGATCTCTCAGCTTTGATATGTGAGTTTTCACTTAAATCATGTTTTCACTTATTTAAAAAATATTTTTGTGTTGTCAAAGTTTGTGCTCATTGCTCAGGGTAAGCTCTGAATGGCCACAGAGCCCTCCCTGCACAGCTCCAAAGGCACCTCAGCTTGGTGGCTACACCTAATTTACACTGAGGAGTTACACTGAGCTTTGGGAGCTCCTGACTCTCAATGTAAACTTCAATTATTTGTAATTGTTCAGATTTCACCCCTCACCAAAGGCTTCTCAGCTTTGGTATGTTTTCACTTTTTTAAAAAATATTTTTGTGTTGCCAAAGGAGGATGAGATACCTGCTTGTGCTCATTGCTCAGGGCAAACCCTGCATGGCCACAGATCCCTTGTGTACAGCTCCAAAGGCTCCTCAGCTTGGTGGCTACACCTAATTTACACTGAGGAGTTACACTGAGCTTTGGGAGCTCCTTCTGCTCCATTTCTGACTCCCAAAGTTCATCTCAATCATTTCTAAGTGAGTTTATATTTACACTCAANAAAAGGCTTCCTGAAAGAAACCTTCATTTCCATAGCCCCAGGTGAGGAAATTCCCAAGCTGAAGGGATTGCTGTGGTTTATTCCTCAGCCACATCCAATTAAAAGCAGATATTCCATAACCACAGCAGACAAACTCTGGAATTGCAGCAATGCTCAAAGCTCTGCTTGGGTAGGTCAGGAAAAGGATAATTTAATAAGAGCTCCAGCTCTTCCAAGGGATTGAAGATGGACAAATATGAGCTGTTATCTCCTCTAATTCCAATGATCCAGCCTCTGGGGTTCAGCCCATGTTCTGCTGCCATTCCCAATTTTATTCCCAATTTTATCCCCAAATTTATTCCTATTTTTTAGCTCGTTTGGCAGCAGCAAATTTGCAAATGGCTGCAGAATAAGAGAAGGGAACCAATCCAGACTCTAAGGGTCAGGGAAAGGGAAAAGCTGCAAATCCTTAATGCTGAGCCTGGAATGTGGGATCACTGCAGGCAGGCTGGAGAAGACTGTACCTGGATTTGTGCTCTGTTCCCTGCTGTGATGTTGGATATGGTCCAGCACGCCTCTTTCCTGATGGATTCCTTGGGACTGCTCAATAAATGGAGGAGGCAAGGCAGGGCTGAGCANAGCCTGATCTGCTCCCAGGAGAGGTTCAGGAGAGCCTGATCTGCTCCCAGGAGAGGTTCAGGAGTGCCTGATCTGCTCCCAGAGGGGAGGAGAGGTTCAGGAGTGCCTGATCTGCTCCCAGGGGTGAGGAGAAGCTCAGGAGAGCCTGATCTGCTCCCAGGAGAGGCTCAGGAGTGCCTGATCTGCTCCCAGAGGGGAGGAGAGGTTCAGGAGTGCCTGATCTGCTCCCAGGCAGTGAGGAGAGGCTCAGGAGAGCCTGATCTGATCCCAGGAGAGGTTCAGGAGAGCCTGATCTGCTCCCAGGAGAGGCTCAGGAGTGCCTGATCTGCTCCAGACACTGAGGAGAAGCTCAGGAGAACCTGATCTGCTCCCAGGAGAGGTTCAGAAGAACCTGATCTGCTCCCAGACAGAGAGGAGAGGTTCAGGAGAGCCTGATCTGCTCCCAGACACTGAGGAGAAGCTCAGGAGAACCTGATCTGCTCCCAGAGGTGAGGAGAGGCTCAGGAGAGCCTGATCTGCTCCCAGGAGAGGTTCAGGAGAACCTGATCTGCTCCCAGGAGAGGCTCAGGAGTACCTGATCTGCTCCCAGGAGAGGCTCAGGAGAGCCTGATCTGCTCCCAGGAGAGGTTCAGGAGAGCCTGATCTGCTCCCAGACACTGAGGAGAAGCTCAGGAGTACCTGATCTGCTCGGGGGTCCCTCCTGAGGTGGCGTTGGTGATGGCCCAGGCCGCCTCTTTCCTGGTCCGGAATTCCGCCTTCTGCAGGATCTCGATCAGCACCGGGAAAATGTTGGCATCAATCACTGCCTGGCAAGAGAGGGCACGAGAGGCCTTGGCATTGGCAGCACTTCCCAAAAGGCTTCCTCAAAGAAACCTTCATTTCCATAGCCCCAGGTGAGGAAATTCCCAAGCTGAAGGGATTGCTGTGGTTTATTCCTCAGCCAAATCTTATTAAAAGCAGATATTCCATAACCACAGCAGACAAACTCTGGAATTGCAGCAATGCTCAAAGCTCTGCTTGGGTAGGTCAAGGAAAGGATAATTTAATAAGAGCTCCAGCTCTTCCAAGGGATTGAGGATGGACAAATATGAGCTGTTATCTCCTCTAATTCCAATGATCCAGCCTATGGGGTTCAGTCCACGTTCTGCTGCCATTCCCAATTTTATTCCCAAATTTATTCCCATTTTTTAGCTCGTTTGGCAGCAGTAAATTTGCAAATGGCTGCAGAATAAGAGAAGTGAACCAATCCAGACTCTAAGGGTCAGGGAAAGGGAAAATCTGCAAATCCTTAATGGTGAGCTTGGAATCTGGGATCAATGCACTTCCCAAAAGGCTTTTGAAGGAAACCTTCATTTCCATATCCCCATGTGAAGAACTTCCCAAGCTGAAGGGATTGCTGTGGTTTATTCCTCAGCCACATCCAATTAAAAGTAGATATTCCATAACCACAGCAGACAAACTCTGGAATTGCAGCAACGCTCAAAGTTCTGCTTGGGTAGGTCAGGAAAAGGATAATTAAACCTCAAGGAGCTCCAGCTCAAGGGATTGAGGATGGACAAATAGGGCTGGATCTCCTCTAATTCCAATGATCCAGCCTATGGGGTTCAGCCCATGTGCTGCTGCCATTCCCAAATTTATTCCCATTTTTTATTCCCATTTTTATTCCCATTTTTTATTCCCAATTTTATTCCCATTTTTTATTCCCGTTTGGCAGCAGCAAATTTGCAAATGGCTGCAGAATAAGAGAAGTGAACCAATCCAGACTCTAAGGGTCAGAGAAAGGAAAATCCTTAATGGTGAGCTTGGAATCTGGGATCAATGCACTTCCCAAAAGGCTTCCTGAAAGAAACCTTCATTCCCATAGCCCCATGTGAGGAAATTCCCAAGCTGAAGGGATTGCTGTGGTTTATTCCTCAGCCAAATCCTATTAAAAGCAGATATTCCATAACCAGCACCCTGGAATTGCAGCAACACTGGGGGAATTCTGAAATCTCCACTCTGCTTATGGAGATCAGTAATTAAACCTCAAGGAGCTCCAGCTCAAGGGATTGAGGATGGACAAATAGGGCTGGATCTCCTCTAATTCCAAAGATCCAGCCTCTGGGGTTCAGCCCATGTGCTGCTGCCATTCCCAATTTTATTCCCATTTTTTAGCTCATTTGGCAGCAGCAAATTTGCAAATGGCTGCAGAATAAGAGAAGTGAACCAATCCAGCCTGAGGGTCAGAGAAAGGGAAAAGCTGCAAATCCTTAATGCTGAGCCTGGAATCTGGGATCAATGCACTTCCCAAAAGGCTTCCTGAAAGAAACCTTCATTTCCATAGCCCCAGGTGAGGAAATTCCCAAGCTGAAGGGATTGCTGTGGTTTATTCCTCAGCCANTTGATACAACCCAGATTCACCAGGTACCTGCAGGGGAGAGCAGCACCAGCATCACTGCCTGCCCAGGAGCATCCCCCCCTCTGCTCCATGGGAAAGCACGGGAGATGATGCAGAAAATCCAGAAATTTACCTTAAAGGTTCATTTGGTTCCATTTATTTGTATTGCATGCAACCCTGTTTTCAGAATTGTTGTTTTTTTTTTTTTTAAGGAAAGGAGTCACTTGAAATCCAGGTGCTGCTCAAATTAAGCCCACACTGGAATTTAACCTGACATAAAATTCAGACATTGAGCCTCAACTACTCCTTCTGAAATCCAGATGCTGCTCAAATTAAGCCCACACTGGAATTTTATCTGTCATTAAATCTGGATATTTAGCCTCAACTACCTCAACTATCTGACTGCCACTTCTGAAATGCAGATGCTGTTCAAATTAGCTCCACAATGAAATTTAATCTGTGATTAAATTTAGATATTTAGCCTCAACTACCCCTTCTGAAATCCAGGTGCTGCTCAAATTAAATCAAGTCCAAACTGGAATTTAAGCTGGCACTAAATTTGGACATTTAGCCTCAACTATCTCAACTGCCCAACTACCTCTTCTGAAATCCAGATGCTGCTCAAATTAAGCCCACTGGAATTTATTTAACCTGTAATTAAATTTGGCAATTTAGCCTCAACTACCCTATTGCCACTTCTGAAATCCAGGTGCTGTTCAAATTAGTTCCACACTGGAATTTAATCTGTGATTATATTTGGATATTTAGCCTCAACTACCCAAATGCCACTTCTGAAATCCAGGTGCTGCTCAAATTAAGTCCACACTGAAATTTATTTACCCTGACATAAAATTTAGAAATTTAGCCTCAACTACCCAAAACCTCAACTACCCAACTACTCCTTCTGAAATCTGGGTGCTGCTCAAATTAATTCCACACTGGAACTGAATCTGTCATTAAATTTAGACATTTAACCTCAACAACTCAAAGAAGGATGGAGAAAATTTGGGATTAAATTATCCCCATCCAGAANAAAAATATTTTTGTGTTGCCAAAGGAGGATGAGATACCTGAAAAGGCAGCAGGACCTTTAGTTAGGTTCCCTGGACAGGAATTCTCACAGGAATTCTGGTTTTTAGCATTTCCAGGTCTCAAAATAACTGAAGTCTCAAAATTCCAGAGTTCATAAGGAAATTATTTAGAGAAATTTTGTAGAGAAGCCTGGGCCTGTCCCTTATTTGAGGGATGCAGAAGAAAGGTTGGGAAAAATGAAACCTGCAGGAAAAACCTCAGCAGGAAAAACCTCATCGTGTTCCACAGCCCAAAATAACCCAGCCAAAGCTCCCAATTGGTGTTTCCCCATCCCCTGGCTGCCATCAGGGCATTTCTTCTCACCTTCTCAAATTCAGGAGGAGGGCTCTTCCCTCTGCACAGGTTTGACAAGGCCCACACAGCATTTCGTGTCATTGTCAGCCTGGTGGACGTGGTGAGGAGCCTGAAGAGAGAATTAGCAGGGATTATTGGCCTTGATGTGGAAAAGAGGGAAGCAAAAGAATGAAAACTAAAATATTTAGCTCCAGTTCAGCCCAGGAGGACAGTCCCAGTTATCAGCAGAAATCAAATGACACAAAGCTCAGCCTGAGCTAGGACACCAAGCTGCAAAATCAGATATCTGGGATAAAACCTCACTTTTCCAGGGTGGTGTGAAGATTAATCCTTGCCAGAGAATTAATTCTTGTCAGAGAACAAGAGCCCAGCCCTGACAGAATTCGTTATCACCACGCTGAGGGAGGTGGTGAGAGAGACCTGATCCTGCCCCAATCCCAAAAAATCCACAGCCAAGCAGAGAGCAGGAGCTGAGGGACACCNCAGCAGGTCAGAGTCACTGTTGAACAACAATCGGGACAACACTGGCAGGCAGGGGGACACCTGCAACAACAGCCACCAGCCGGGGTTAGTCAGCAGGCCAGGAGCTGCACAGCTGCAGGACAGCACCCCCTGGTTGTGCTCACTGCTCAGTTATTTACAATTGTTCAGATTTCACCCCTCACCAAAGGCTTCCCAGCTTTGAGATGTTTTCACTTTTTTAAATAATATTTTTGTGTTGCCAAAGGAGGATGAGATACCTGCTTGTGCTCATTGCTCATTGCAAGCCCTGCATGGCCACAGATCCCTCCCTGCACAGCTCCAAAGGCTCCTCAGCTTGGTTGCTACACTTAATTTACACTGAGGAGTTACACTGAGCTTTGGGAGCTCCTTCTGCTCCATTTCTGACTCCCAAAGTTCATCTCAGTTATTTATAATAGTTCAGATTTCACCCTTCACCACAGGTGTCTAAGCTTTGATATGTGAGGTTTCATTTAAACCATGTTTTCACTTATTTAAAAATATTTTTGTGTTGCCAAAGTTTGTGCTCACTGCTCAGGGTAAGCCCTGCATGGCCACAGAGCCCTTCTTGTACAGCTCCAAAGACACCTCAGCTTGGTGGCTACACCTAATTTACACTCAGGAGTTACACTGAGCTTTGGGAGCTCCTGACTCTCAGTGTTCACCTCAGTTATTTATAATTGTTCAGATTTCACCCCTCACCACAGGCTTCTAAGCTTTGATATGTTTTCACTTTTTTAAAAAATATTTTTGTGTTGCCAAAGGAGGATGAGATACCTGTTTGTGCTCAGGGTAAGCTCTGAATGGACACAGAGCCCTCCCTGCACAGCTCCAAAGGCTCCTCAGCTTGGTGGCTACACCTAATTTACACTAAGGAGTAACACTGAGCTTTGGGAGCTCCTGACTCTCAGTGTTCACCTCAGTTATTTAGAATTGTTCAGATTTCACCCCTCACCAAAGGCCTCTAAGCTTTGATATGTGAGGTTTCCCTTAAATCATGTTTTCACTTATTTAAAAATATTTTTGTGTTGCCAAAGGAGGATGAGATACCTGTTTGTGCTCACTGCTCAGGGCAAGCTCTGAATGGCCACAGAGCCCTTGTGCCCAGCTCCAAAGGCACCTCAGCTTGGTGGCTACACCTAATTTACACTGAGGAGTAACACTGAGCTTTGGGAGCTCCTGACTCTCAGTGTTCACCTCAGTTATTTATAATTGTTCAGATTTCACCCCTCACCAAAGGCTTCTCAGCTTCGATATGTGAGGTTTCACTTAAATCATGTTTTCACTTTTTAAAAAATATTTTTGTGTTGCCAAAGGTGGATGAGATACCTGTTTGTGCTCATTGCAAGCCCTGCATGGCCACAGATCCCATGTGTACAGCTCCAAAGGTACCTTGGCTTGGTGGCTACACCTAATTTACACTGAGGAGTAACACTGAGCTTTGGGAGCTCCTGACTCTCAGTGTTCACCTCAATTGTTCAGATTTCACCCCTCACCACAGGTTTCTAAGCTTTGATATGTGAGGTTTCATTTAAATAATGTTTTCACTTATTTAAAAAATATTTTTGTGTTGCCAAAGGAGGATGAGATACCTGCTTGTGCTCAGGGCAAGCCCTGCATGGCCACAGATCCCTTCCTGCACAGCTCCAAAGGCACCTTGGCTTGGTGGCTACACCTAATTTACACTGAGGAGTAACACTGAGCTTTGGGAGCTCCTTCTGCTCCATTTCTGACTCTCAAAGTTCACCTCAATAATTTCTAAGTGAGTTTATATTTACACTCAATTCAGATTTCACCCCTCATCTAAGCTTTGCTATGTGAGGTTTCACTTAAATAATGTTTTCACTTATTTAAAAATATTTTTGTGTTGCCAAAGGAGGATGAGATACCTGCTTGTGCTCATTGCAAGCCCTGCATGGACACAGAGCCCTCCCTGCACAGCTCCAAAGGCACCTCAGCTTGGTGGCTACACCTAATTTACACTGAGGAGTAGCACTGAGCTTTGGGAGCTCCTTCTGCTCCATTTCTGACTCCCAAAGTTCATCTCAGTTATTTATAATTGTTCAGATTTCACCCCTCACCACAGGTTTCTAAGCTTTGATATGTGAGGTTTCACTTAAATCATGTTTTCACTTATTTAAAAAATATTTTTGTGTTGCCAAAGGAGGATGAGATACCTGCTTGTGCTCATTGCAAGCCCTGCATGGCCACAGATCCCTCCCTGAACAGCTCCAGAGCCACTTCACCTTGGTGGCTACACCTAATTTACACTGAGGAGTAACACTGAGCTTTGGGAGCTCCTGACTCTCAGTGTTCACCTCAGTTATTTAGAATTGTTCAGATTTCACCCCTCACCAAAGGCTTCCCAGCTTTGATATGTTTTCACTTTTTTAAAAAATATTTTTGTGTTGCCAAAGGAGGATGAGATACCTGTTTGTGCTCACTGCTCAGGGCAAACCCTGCATGGACACAGAGCCCTTGTGCCCAGCTCCAAAGGCACCTCAGCTTGGTGGCTACACCTAATTTACACTGAGGAGTAACACTGAGCTTTGGGAGCTCCTTCTGCTCCATTTCTGACTCCCAAAGTTCATCTCAATCATTTCTAAGTGAGTTTATATTTACACTCAATTCAGATTTCACCCCTCATCTAAGCTTTGCTATGTGAGGTTTAATTTAAATAATTTTTCACTTTTTTAAAAATATTTTTGTGTTGCCAAAGGAGGATGAGACACCTGCTTGTGCTCACTGCTCAGGGTAAGCTCTGAATGGCCACAGAGCCCTTCTTGTACAGCTCCAAAGTCACCTCAGGTTGGTGGCTACACCTAATTTACACTCAGGAGTAACACTGAGCTTTGGGAGCTCCTGACTCTCAGTGTTCACCTCAGTTATTTATAATTGTTCAGATTTCATCCCTCACCAAAGGCTTCCCAGCTTCGATATGCTTTCAATTTTTTAAAAATATTTTTGTGTTGCCAAAGGAGGATGAGATACCTGAAAAGGCAGCAGGACCTTTAGTTAGGTTCCCTGGACAGGAATTCTCACAGGAATTCTGGTTTTTAGCATTTCCAGGTCTCAAAATAACTGAAGTCTCAAAA